TGCCACCCGGAGTCACATTTGGTTCTCAGCCACAGTGGCTCCCCAACCATGGGGGCCGACCTTCCCAGAGTCTGGGCTTTGAGCTATGCAGGCGCCTGAGAAGCCGAAACCAGAGTCTCCACTCCCCCCACCCCCACCCCTAAGAAGTGTCGAGGCCCGGGGGTGGGTCGGCTCGGAACTAACCTCCCTGAGCGCGCGCGCATGCGCACACGTGCACACACCCCTCCACGCCCGCCCTGCTCCCGGCGTAACAGACAAGACGCTCTTGCTTACACAGCAAACGAAAAGCCGAAGAAAACTTCCCAACGTTAAAACAGACAAGCTCTCATTTGGATCCCCCTCACTGCCGACACCGAAAAAAGAGGACGGGGTCCTTGCAGCAGGGTCAGCTGGACCCACGTCTGATGGGGGATGACACAGCACTCGCACGCGGGATCCAGACCGGCTGAGGCCCAGGCTCCGCACCTGCCGCTTCCGGCTGTAGGAGGATGGTTTAGGGTCCCCGCACCCCGGGCAGGTCCCCTAAACACACCTGTCTCCCAGCATCTAAGGATGCACGAGACCAGCCCTTGCCTGATTAACTCAGGGCTGACCTCCATGAGGCTCCGCAGCTGCCCCGGGCACGCCGGTCTCACACACGTCCAACTCCTCACTAGTCCGATGGTCTCTTTGGAGACCAGCACCCCTCCGCTGTCAGGGGCCTCCAGCCACCTCCCCCATCTCTCTGGGGAGCAGGAATCCGGTGGGCATCACCACCCAGCTCTCCCGGAATGACCCTGCTGGTGGCTCTGTTCCTCTCCCACATCTCTGTGCCCTCGCGTGTCTTACAGGGTAAGCACTTGGACAAATTTCATTCATTCATTTTAATGGAGGGGATTGAACCCAGGACCTCGTGCATGCTAAGCCCCCTCTCTACCACTGAGCTATATACCCTCCCTCCTCATATCTGTTCTTTTGTTCACTTTCTTTAATGTTTTCATAGGGCCACATTTGCAAGTTATGTGTCCAGATGGTTGAATCACAATATTAAAGTTAAGGAAGGTTTGCACAGAACTCTCTCTGCTCTTCATATACTCTCTGCTTCATAACCTCAAGCAAAGGCCTGCGGGCCTAATTTTCATCAGCTCTAAAAGCAGGGGTGATTCTCTCCTCCGTCCGTAAGGCCCCTTCCAACTCTAAAACTGCTTTACATTTCACCCCTAAGTGCAATTAGGGGTTTAGCCTGTAATTAGTTTGCCTTCCCAGTATTTTATAATTGCAAATATTAGACACTTGCAATGGACTTGGGTGATTTTTCTGGTATTATACACACATCCGGAAACAAAAGTTACACACCCAAATGCATCTGCCATGAACCCCAAGGTTTAATAATTAGATAAAATTCAGCCAGGTGTTTAAGCACCCAGACTGTGAGAAAGAAAGGATATGATTGATAAAAGTTCCACAGAAAAGAGAAACTCCGGATCCTGAGGGCCAGCAGGCTCACCGGGAACGAGACCGCTGGGCTGGGCACTGGAGAGACACGGCCCAGCAGGCAGAAGCCTTCAGAATTCATTTTCCCCAGTTCACCTTAGAGACGCAAAGCGGGAAAGCTTTAGGATGAAGGTGTGGGTAGCACCAAGCTGGTCTCCATTCATCAAGGGCCACCACTCTCGTTATTTCAAATTCAAACCCACCATCCCCTCCCGGCCGCTAGACCTTTTCCTACTGAAACTGTAGGGGACACCACCAAACTCTACATCCAATTTCATTTTTAATATAGATTTTTAAACGCCTCTTTTATAATCCAGTTTCCAATTACAGTATCCACAGGGGACTGGTTCCAGGACCCACAAGGACACCAAAATCCCTTAAATAAAAAGGTGTAGTATTTTCATATAACCCACGCACACCCTCCTGAGTACTTTAAATCCTCTCCAGGTCACTTACACTATCTAATACGGTGTGAATGCCGTGTAAGTAGCTGTAAAGACAACAGAAATGCTACATAAATAGTTCCCAGCAGGAGACAAATTCAAGTTTCGCTTTCAGAAACTCCCTACATTTTTTTTTTCCTGAGTGTTTTCACTCTGTGGTTGGTTGAATCTGTGGACACAGAACCCTCGGATACAGGCGCCAGGTTGTGTTTGCCCTGTAGGTCTAGTTCACCCAACTGTATTCCTAGCGCTCAATGCGCAGCCCGGCCCACAGCCCACACTACACGAACGACCGGCAACCTCCTTTGGCTGCCAAATACTATTACGTAACATTAAATGACCTCAGGGATAATCTTAATCTTAGCAAAGTGTCCCCAGACCTGACCCCTATACTGGGAGCCACCGACAGGCAGCTGGCCCAGACCACCTGTGTACAGGTGAGCAGGGGCCCCACGCACAGCTGCCTGTCCCCTGAGTCCCCGGGGGCAGCAGGGCTCTGTGCCCATGATGACGTCTCCACGAGAAGGGAAGGTGGAGGCCCGTCCCGCAGGTGAGTCTGTGCCTTCCGAGGGCGCCAAGAGGTCACCAGAGGTAAACAGCAAATGGGGAGAGACAGGTGAGCAGAAGCAGGCTCATCCCTGGGCTCGCCACTGGACGGGAGAATGAGTGCTCTCACCTTGTGGGAGCAAAGAGGGGACACGCGTCTTGTCTGAACACAACCTCAAGGGTAGTTTATCAAATCTCTGGGTCACCCAAAGGCTAGTTTTCTGAGTTCCCAGAAAACTGCCGCAGTTAGCTCCGTTTGCCCTGAGCTAGGCTTATTAAGCGAGTCAAGGTCTTAATTTCTTCCAAAATTAGGTAAAAGATGGACCTGAATTCACCTACCGAGGGCAGGGGTGCTGACGCGGGTGTGCTGTGAACAACAGCACAGCAGGAAGGAAAGAACAGTGGTGTTTGTGTTGTCGTTGTTCTAAAATAGCCCGAAGAAAGACTGAAAGGTGTCCCTCACAATCCACTGGCAACTAACTACTCTCACGGTTTCAAGGTTACTCTCCTGAGTCCTGGTCTTGTGCTACGGGAATCGGTTTCAAACCTGGGAAGCTGGAGCAGAGGAAACAACTGGGTTCCCTCGACTATGCAAACTCCAGCTAGGTAGGCTGGATCTGCAGTGGAGCCCTGCTCAGTGCAAGGGCTGTCTCCACCCAGAAAGCTGTGCCCCTCCCACCTGTGCTGGCATTTCTGATTTAAGGTGGGGGGGGCGGGTAGAACACTGAATTTTCCTATTCCCCCCAAAAAAAGTTTTGTTGGGAGTAAGCACTGCAACAGATGTCTAACATTTCTGTTTCTGTCTTTTTGGCTAATTGGACTGAAAGCTATTAACATATCATTAACAGCCCTCCAAGCAACAGAAAGCGATGGCAGTAACAGCGACTCTTATAATACTTCACAGTTTACAGAAAGCACTTTCCTTCCCCCATCTTCTCCATTATTCCTCACAGCATCTTGTGATGCAAATACCATGATCAACACCCACGGGTACTGGGGCATTTTCAGACCCTGCATTAACCCCCACTCCCAAGCCAGCAGGCGGCAGACGCGCTGACTGATCCTGGCCTCTCCTCCCTTCTGTGTGCATTTCTGCTCACACAGAAACCATCACAGACACTGCACACACTGTCCACAGACGAGCCTGGAAGCTTTCGTGTAGTTTTCTGGGACGACACCGAGCACCATGGGTCGGGGGAGGGGCTGTCTTTTCCCTACTCCACCCACAGCTCCAGAAAGGAGGAGCCGTCCTCAGCTCCAAACACCATCCCTGCCTTAGGGAACTAAGAAGAAACAGACCTATCGCTTTGTTCACTTTTTCCCTGTTGATTTTCATCTTAATTTTTCTAAGCATAAGAAAAGGATGGATATCATTCTTGAATTTCAAGCTACATTTGTGAACCACAC